ATATACAAAATAGGCTCGAAGTCAACATCCGCTTAAGCAGGAAGGAAATGGTGCGGAGCTACAATGAGGAGCTTGAGCGTCTTCGTCGCGACTTAGATGCTACCAGAACAAAAACTAGTATCTTTATAGACGAACAACATCTTAATTTGATGCAAAATCAGGTCACGCATCAGGTATACTGAGCTCTTCGTTATATGGTTTTGTTTCTTTATTTTGCTTAATGCATCCTATTTTAGCAATGTGGAGATGCGACGCGAGGTTTTAGAGGAGGATTTGGCCGTGATAAATCTGTCGTACTGCTGCGTCACGAGGACTTGTAGGAGGCTGTGTGCTACGACAAGTCCGTCTGGTTGTCGACTGGGTAGGGCCCTTCTGTCGTTGGAGCCGCCGCCGACGGGCCCACCGGCGTCCTGGAGCCCGGCGCCCATTTCGCCGGCCGAGGCTTCCCAAATCGGCGGACTCCTCTGCATGGAGAGTTTGGAGCAGGTGGACGAGCCCATTCTGTCGTACGACAAGAGCTCCAGGCGGAGAGGGACCGTCCATCTGCCGTACCCAGCCCGACTGGTTGACGGATAAATGAATAGATGGATGCAGCAGCAGCAGCAATTACTGCAGTATTTGCATCCCGCCTACGCGCCTCAGGTGCCCACGTACCAGTTGTCGATGAAGGGAGAGGAGGATGAGGAGAACACCTAACCAGTCCGAGCCTGAGGGTCTTCTGCTGCGTCACCAGGACTCGGAAAGGGCGTGTACTAAGAACCCTCGGTCTGGTTGTGGACTGGGTGGGGCTCTTTTGTCCTTGAAGCCACCGACGGTCAAACCGGCGGCGTGGAGCCCGGCGCCCATTTCACCGACCGAGGCTTCCCAGAGCGGCGGACTTGTCTGTATGGAGAGTTTGAAGCAGGTAAACAAGCCCAGGCTGCCGGACGAGCAGAGCTTCCAGGCGGAGAGGATCCCGTCTGTCTGCCATGCCTGTCCAGACTGGTTGGTTGATGAATATAT